AATTAGCCTACAATACTGCATTCTAACCACTGCGCCACCACGGCTCTACCATGGCATGTCCAGATATTGCTGCAGGCAGTGGTGGGATTCAAATATGTGAACAACTGGTTCTCTGTGTGGATGCCGCTTCCGGAAGTCCATTCTGGGCCTGGGCAACAAAAAATTAGCTACCGGTTCTGCCGAAGTGGTGCGAACTGGCTGAATCCCACCACTGGCTGCAGGGCAGCATGGCAAATGAGAAGGAAAGCATGGATCAGTGGGGAAAGGAAAGGAGTGAGAAAGACTCCCTAAGAGAGGGAACAAACAGGACATGCATAATCTGCAAGTGCAACAAATGCAAAGAAGCAACTATTTCAGGCAAGACAACGTAAGAGAACAGCCTTTGCCTCTAGGGATTGGGGGTCACCCACCTTCTTTAAGCTAAACAACATCAGATCAGAACTGTTCGGTTCCAATAGACCTGCTATGTTCTTCCTGCTCATTTGGTTGCCATTTCCAGATCTGAGGGACTTAGTAGTTAAGCATCAGCCAGGCATTATCAACAGTCCTGATGGGAAATTGCTGTGGTTGTTCCAGTGGGCCTATGGATGGTGATCCTACAAATTATTTACATCCATTGGGCAACTGCTCCTTTGATCCTAACACTAGCCCTTCTACAACTTCTCTACCTAACCTTTTCACCTATGATGATCTCCCTTCCTGTCCAGTCCAAGGTCCATTGACAAAGGAATATATAAATCCTTCCAGGGCGCGGAGGGCGAGTTTAATTGCTAACAGGTTCATCAAGGGATATTAATAACCAGACTTAGGAAGACACTGAAGGAGGACAGCTAGTGATAATAAAAAATGTAGCAAAAGATGGGACTGCAATTTGGTTCACCAACAGTGGCTTTGTTTTGGTTACCACCTTCTGTATTTTGACTCATTTTTTGGAATGTTGGCTCAGAAGGAAGCTGGGCTCCTTCTGTCAAATGGGAAACCTGAAATACAGGTAGGCCTCGACTTACAGTGGTTTGTTTAGTGACCGTTCAAAGTTACAACAGCACTGGAAAAAGTGACTTACGACCGTTTTTCACACTTACAATCATTGCATTTTGACCACAAAATTCGACATTGGCTGCTGGCTCATATTTATGACGGTTGCAGTGTCCCGGGGGCCACGTGATCCCCTTTTGCGACCTTCTGACAAGCAAAGTCAGTGGGAAAGCCAGATTCACTTAACAACTGTGTTACGAACTTGACAACTGCAGTGATTCGCTTAACAACTGTGGCAAGAAAGGTCGTAAAATGGGGCAAAACGTACTCAACAAACGTCTCAGCAACAGAAATGTTGAGCTCAATTGTGTGGTCGTAAGTTGAGGACTGCCTGTATACTGTTTTGGGCTGCAGATGAATGAAATCATATTGAACGGGTCTCTCATGGGAGTGGAGGATGGGAGGTTAGAGTACATGCACCTAGAACAGGGGTAGGCAACCTTGGCTCTTTCATGACTCGTGGACTTCAACTCCCAGAATTCCTGAGCCAGCCATGCTGAGGGGAAAGGGAGAGGTTTCCATGCTGGCTCAGGAATTCTGGGAGTTGAAGTCCACGAGTCATAAAAGAGCCAAGGTTGCCTACCTCTGACCTAGAAGTTAATATAGCAGGGGAGAATTCGACCCATACTTTTTAAATGGGTCTAAAATTTTGCATGTACATTCTTTGTATTATGGAGATATATTCAAAGATGAAATTCCTTATAGTATAGTCCAGGGGTAGGCAATCTGATCAAACAATATACAGTAGTATGTAAATTGCAGGGATCTGCAGTTTAATGTCATCCATTTTTAAAATATGATTTCCTTCAGATCTAGGCTATTATGGCAAGGGAAGGAGGACAGGCAGAGTTAGGACTGCCTTTTAGTCCTTCTAACGGGTTTTCTGTATTCAAATGGTTGCAAAATTTGATAGGCTATATCAGGGGTAGGCAACCTTGGCTCTTTTATGACTCGTGGACTTCAACCCCAAGAATTCCTGAGCCAGCCTCAGGAATTCTGGGAATTGAAGTCCACGAGTCATAAAAGAGCCAAGATTGCCTACCCCTGGGCTATATCTACCCATTTCATACAGGTTGCTGTTAACTTAAAGACTACCAATGCAACTGGTCAAAGAAACTGGTATTTTGTCTCTGAGCAGTGTAACTTCTATATACTATCATAGTTTAATTGCAGGGAATAATGACATAGGTAGAGCTTCTGCTGTGATGCTGTCCCCTCAAATCGCTCCCTATTAGAGCATAAGGAAGGGCGGGCCTGGGAAAATTATTGGGCATTAATCAAAATACTTTTGTCCAATCCTCCTCACAAACGGATTGGTCACAGCCCATGTGAGGCCAATATCGTGTTTCTGAGAGTTACAGCGGGCAGCTGTAGTCCAGATTGTAGAGGTTGCTCTTTGGAGACTTGATGAGCTACCCATCTTTGGTTGTGGTGTGTGTCAGTGACCATCTTGGAGACCTGAGAAGATTGGGTGCAAGTTATTAGCATGTTTTGTGCTAAGCCATCCTGAGCTTCTTTTCATTGCAGATGGTTGTGCAGAAAAAAATCCATCCAACAGAAGGGGATATCTGCAGTTCAGGGTTGAACTGCGGAGCCCTGGTGCTCTCTCAGCTTGGTTGTTGGCTTGCAGAGGTTTCGTTGGCTGTGCTGATGTTACCTAGTTCAGGGCTTTTCAACCAGTGGTACGGGTACCACCTGTGGTACATTGGCACCTGGCAGGTGGTACGCGACCATCCTAGAAAAGTGTTAGCGGGGGAGGATAATGAGCTGAACCAGTGGCAGCATCGCACAAGCCTAAGCGAGAGATGGCTGGAGCTGTCAGGGCTCAGCGGAAGCGCCAGGATCGGCGCCAGGCTCCAGCTGGAGCTCAGCGCTGATCCTGGTGCTTCTGCTGAGCCCAGAAGAAGCGCTGATCAGCTGGAATGTTGCAGCATCTCCAGGGTCTTGTGATTTACATTCAGATGCTTGGCAACTGATTCATATTTATGACGGTCACAGTGTCCCAGGGTCATGTGAAGTGACCAAAACCTGCTGCAACCTCCCAGCAGACGGGGGGAATAAAAACCAAACACCCCCCCACCCCCGCTGCCAATCCTCAACAGAAATGTTCACAACAATGAAAACCTCGGACAGGAGGAAGAGCGCGGCCGGGTGTGCAGGCAGGTGTCTTGCTTGGCTGTGCCTTGGGGGGCACTTTTTTCAGTGCCATGGTAACTTCAAACAGTCACTAAGCAAACTGTTGTAAGTTGAGGACTACCTGTACTTTATCACTTTTTTCCTTTTTTGGGGGGGGTCATCAAGTTTTTGACCCCTTGCTAGGAGACTGGTGGTACTCAGATGTTGCCATATCCTAAAAGTGGTACAATGGGTGAAAAGGTTGAAAAGCCCTGACCTAGTTGGGTAATGAAATGTCTGCAAGCCAACACCCAGGCTCAGAGAGCTCCAAGGACTCTTCAGGAAGATCCCTGCTAATGAGGATGGGAAGGACTTTTCAGGGAAGGAGACAACACGTTATAGGTTAGCCTTGACAAAATACAGAATCAGTTGGCTTATATCAACCTCTTCCAACCTAATGCCCTCCGGATATGGCTAAATGGCCATGATGGCCAAGAATTGTCTAACACCTTTATAAGCACAAGACAGGTTCCTGTTCCTATGGTGGAATTTCAAACTAGAGTAGATCAGAGCGTAAAGAAGTTGGCTAACTTAGAGTGACAAAGGCAGACTCCTGAAACCTTTATCTGGCTATTCCCAAGAGCGTGCAGTTAGTCTGGTGAGATTCTTGTAAATAGGTGAATAGCAATAAAGAAACTTTTCTGATCCACTCAGAGTGTTACTCTGTTTCCTTGCGCCTGACGTTAATTTTGCCATACTCCCTGCATTAGCAATAGCAATAGCATTTAGACTTATATATCACCCCTTGGCACTCTCTGGACGGTTTACAATGTAAGCTTTTTTTGCATATTGCCCCCAACAATCTGGGTCCTCGTTTTACTGACCTTGGAAGGATGGAGGGCTGAGACAACCTTGAGCCCCATTAGGCTGTGGGCAGAGTTTGCCTGCAATACTGCACTTTAACCATTGCACCACCAGGGCGTTCTCTGGGGAATAGCCAGATAAAGGCTTCAAGAGTCCCACCGAGCCACTCTAAGCTAGCCAGCCATTTTACTTCCCCCTCTACTCTAGCCAGAAATTCCACCACAGTGAATCTTCCACTTGAATGTTATAGGTATCAGTCACCTTCTTTATCCAGCTCTACTCCCATCTTTGCCATAAACATACTGGATAATCCAAAGACCCACATATCACCATCTGAATCAGTTAGACAAAATAATTACCAGTATTAACTGAGCTTCTGAAAGCTGTGCAGGATTTCCCCATTGTTTCATCCAAAACCCCAAATCTGCTCTTGATAGGTAATGACCTTGGTTTCTTTCTGACTACAGAACAGATTCCTTCACCTGCCACAGGTGTGTGCCGAAAATTGTTTGCAAGGATCCACGGCTTTGGGTAGCAATGTGTCCTTGCAAAGGAATGGAGGGTCCCCAGATACAGCCCTCCGTGGAGGGCCCACCCTTCTCTCGGAGGGTTATGGCTGCCATTTGGACATGAAGGAGAGCAGGCACAGAGCAAGGGAAATGGTTGCTTGTACTGGTTCCTGCTAGCAGGGCGATTGGTTTTGTTTTTAATGTTTTGATAAAAACCCCAAAACTGTTTCCACCTTGGTATTAATTCTGCCTGGGTTCTAGAGGATCTAATTCTTCTTCCTTCTTGTCTCAGAAACAAATGTAGAACATCAAGCCGACAGACCCATCTGAATAGACCATTTACATTGGACTTGGGATTGGGGAAGTCTAGCTTGGAGAACTACCTTGGCACTAGCCAGTCATGGACACCTCTCTAGCCCCCTCCTCTCCTTAGCACGGTTCAACATCTTCATATTGTGGGGAAGCCAACCCCAGTACTGTCTCTTCTGTCTGCTGGGCATGACTTCTGAGGTGCCGGTAAAGGTGTGAGGTCCCGCAGAAGTGCCGTTTGCACTGGGGGCAGGGATACAGCCTCTCCTCCACATGCACACACTGGTGTTTGAGCAAAGCGGAGGCATCGGCACACAGCTCACCACAATTTCCACACCCGTGGGCAGAGAGCTGAGAACCATCTGGGTTGTGGTGGTGGGCATGTTGGTGTCGCTGGAAATGCAAGGTGCTGTTGAAGCTCTTGCCGCAGTCAGGGCAGATGTGGGGCTGCCCCCCAGCATGGGTGCGTTGGTGTCGATACAGGTGGGAGGTGCGCCCAAAGCACTTGCCACAGTCGCCACAGGAGTAGGGCCTCTCGCCTGTGTGAATGCGTCGGTGTCGCTCCCAGTGGGAGCTCCACGTAAAGCTGAGCCCACACTCCCCACAGTGGTACGGCTTATCGGTGGAGATGTGAAGCCGCCGGTGCTGAGCCAGCTGAGTGCGAGCACTGAAGCTTTGCCCGCACTCCCCACAACCAAACGGCTTATCAGCAGTGCCGTGGAGACGGCGGTGGCGGGCCAGCTGGGACCGCCCCCCAAAACTCTGCCCACATTCTGAGCACTGGTGGCTCTGGTCCCCCCCAACCAAGTGCAAACGCTGGTGCTTCACCAATGCCAAGCCATCGGCAAAGGCTTTACCACAAAGGGTGCACTTGTAGGGCTTGCGGCCACGATGGGTACGCTGGTGCTGGTCAAAGTGCAGCGTGGTGCTGAAGCTGCGTCCACAGTAGGTACAGATGTAGGCACGGGTAACGTTGGCTGCCGCGTTGGTGCCATGAGTGCGCTGGTGGCGGTAGAGATGGGAACTGCGGCTGAAGCGCTTGCCACACTCGTTGCAAGGATAGGGCTTCTCCCCAGTGTGGATGCGCAGGTGCCGGGCAAAATGCGAACTCCAGGAAAAGCTCTTGCCGCAGTCACCGCACTGGAAGGGCAGCCGGCCAGTATGGAGCCGTTGGTGAGTCACCAGCTCGGTATTGCGGCGGAAACACCGACCGCACTCGGCACACTGGTAGGGCAAGCCCCGGGTGGGCAGGAGGGCTGGAGAGGGGGTTCCTGGGGAGGTGTTGGCACTGGCATGTGCCCGCTGATGCCTATATAAGTTAGAACTGACGTTGAAGCTTTTGCCGCAGTCTTCACAATGGAAGGGGCGCTCGCCCGTGTGCGTTCGCCGGTGCTTGCTGTAGTGCGAGCTGCAACTGAAGACTTTCCCGCAGTCCTCGCATTCGTAGCCCTTCTGCAGAACTAGGATGGGTGGTCCCTCCCCTGCTAGGACCTTGCTGCTGCTGGACGGCTGCACCACCCTCCAGCGCAGGCTCTTGCAATTCCTGGAAACCACCCTAGCGTCCAGTTTGAGCAGCTCAGATTGATGTTGCTGTGAGATTTCTTCCTCTTCGCTCTCTTCCTCTTCCTCACTGCCCATCCCCTCACCTGGTAGGAAGTAAACACAAAGGGCCATAACCTTTCCAATAGTCCAATAGTCCACACAGATAGTCTTCAATTTACGACTGTAACTGAGCCCTGCAATTGCAGACATAACTCCTAATGGCTGTAAAGTGGGTCACCATGTGACCAGACACAATTTCATGACCTTTTTTTGTGGTGGTGGTTAAGTGAATATCATGGTTGTTAAGCTACCCCATTGTTCAGGGTTTTGCCAGAAACAGGGAATAAATTCTGACAAAAACACACAAATTGCAATCATGTGACCACAGGGAACAGCCCATGGCAGTAAATGTGGGCCAGTTGCTTAGTGCACAAAATGGGGTCACCTGACTGCAGAGGGAGGCTGAACATTGGAACTTCAAAACCATATTGTAAGTAGCTTTTGGGGGGAATCTGTCGTAACTCTGAATAGTTGCTAGGCAACTGGTCGTAAGTCGAGGATTACCTGCATCCCGAAGAGATGGCCAAAACCTGGAGTATAGGACCTATTCTCTTAGGCTTGTTCAAATCAAAGTTTTCAGTTGCTAAGGACTCTAAACCATGGTGGCCTATTCCAAACTGTATTCTCTGCTAGCAAGTATTTGACCATCTTTTTTGTCCCCCTCTCTTTGCTGTGAGACTTTGTGGTTACAAAAGGATAAAGGAATCAGCAAGAAAGAAATGAATGCCTCATTGCTTCTCAGTTCCCATTCTTGGCCTGTAAACAGACCACAGCAACCAAGGCATCTCCTTCATCTTCTAACACAAGGCAGTAACTAAAGAACCGTCTTATTCTTCATCTTCATCGCATCCTCATGAATGCCAATGAAATACTGCCGTAATGGGCAGGGGTAGTCAACCTTGGCTCTTTTATGACTCGCGGACTTCAACTCCCAGAATTCCTGAGCCAGCATGGCTCAGCTTGGAAACCTCTCCCTTTCCCCTCAGCATGGCTGGCTCAGGAATTCTGGGAGTTGAAGTCCACGAGTCATAAAAGAGCCAAGGTTGACTACTCCTGTGCTAGGTGATCGTTTATATTGATTGTAACAGAAGCCCCACTGATCAGACATCATTTCCACAAGGCAGTGTTTTGGTCCAGTCCTCCCTGTCCAACTTTCTGCCTCCTATTGTGGTCAGCTCCAGTCAAGTGACATCCTAATATAAATTTTAGCTAGGAGAAATGCAGAATGAACTTAAATAAAATTGCAATGTAAAACGCATTCAACAAACTGTTATTTTCTACTGTAGTTAGGTGTCAGAAGCTGCATATTTTCCCCCTAAATTCATGTACCTCTTTTCTATTTAAAAAAAACAAAACACCCCATGATTACTGCCACGTTTTAAGGCTTATCTCTCAGGTCAAATACATCTCCACTAAATGTCTGAATCTCCAGTTCTTCAAGATTCCTGTGTGGTTCAGTGGGAAAGAGTAGGATTACAAGTGGAGAGACGTGGATTCTAGGCCAACCTTCAGCCACAGAAGCTCCCGGTGACCTTGTGCTTATCATAAAATTATTACTATAGGGGAAAGGAGGAGGGAGCATTACATACACTACCTTCAACTCCTGTACAAAAGATGGGATGTAAATAAAACCAATAAGCAAGTGATAATTACCTGACCATTTTTCAGAAATATATGTATGTGTTTACTTGTGTGAGAGAACTTCTGTACGTGCATTGTGTTGGAAAGCTTTGAAAAATATTTTGCATCTCTCTCACACAGACACTCACACACACACTCAGTCCCCCTCCCTCTTTTGGTTTTTGCAACCCAGATTTGATCGTTTTACCACGTAGCAACATTTCCCAACTCTCTTTCTAGCCTTTTGAGGGCCAGAGAGTAGACAAATTCTACTTTGTACTTTTGCCTAAACCTTGTTCAAGGCCACTGGCTTGACCCATGTCAGATTGGAGCATAAAGGGAGGTAAGGTTCATGTTCCCACCACCCCACTAAAGTGTGAAGGAAAATATTCTGAAGAGAAAAGCTGAGATCAGCTACCTGTGTGCCCCCCCCCTCCTCACCTAAATTGGCTCTTCTTGGGTTCTCCCTGTTACCAGGCTCCAGGATGCCAGATTCCTTTTCTTCTTTCACCAAGAAAATCTCACTGGGTTTGGAACTTGAAGATCCTGCTTGAAGAGGAAAAAAGCAAAATACACTAATTAACTTTGCTGGTTTGCTCGATTCCGTCCTTCTTTTTGATTTGTTCTCCTCTTTAGCTGCAGTTTCTACCTCAGTCCAGGAACCACTTCCTTGTTCATCC